AGTAAAATGGTGTAAAAATCGTTAAAAAAATCATGAAATAAACAGAAAATTTGTTTGTTTTACATGTAAGATCAAATAATATTTCACTCGTGAACCCCAGCTATTATATTTTCACTCGTGGCTACGCCACTCGTGGAAAATATTGCATCTGGTGTTCACTCGGTGAAATATTTTTCGATCTTACACTGAAACAAACAAATATCCTCTATATCATTATCAGGGAATACTATAAAGACCACCACCGAAAGAGTTGACATCTGAATTAAGTTTAAGTATATATTGATAAAATTTCAGCTGGAACTACGAAATAATAGAATTATTTTCATATCTCCATACAATAATATTGGTTTAATCATACTGTCGAACAATTGGTAAACATTTTTTTAAGATATCAAACATAGCCTTCCTAGATTGATCTGTCAAGTGCTTTTTTGTTTTATTTAATTTATCATTAAAGTTCAATTTTACATAACTAAAATCATCTGCAGCTTCTAGAGACGCATTAAATATTGAAATTCATTCATTTCTCAATTTACCACAACTTTTGTGTTACCAGTGTTGAAAGTCAAGAGCTTGCAGTTACTAGTAAGTGCCGTTTGAAGGCCAGTTCGACTTTCCGTAAAAACAACTGTGTCATCGGCATATAGTAACAGGTACAATTTGAAGAATATTACTTTACGGTTCATTTACATGGTCTGCTAAAAACTGCAACCCTTCACAATGTGTAGACATATAAAATACCAAATCATAATATCATGAAGGAAAATTGAAAACAAAATTGGAGAAAGATTTTCTTTTTGACGCACACCTTAACAGTTTACAAATATATCTGACAATGCATTACTCACTTTAACACTTTTAACACAAGAATAAGCTTTGTCATAGATATTATGAATATCTAATGCATATGTATTTTCCCACCTTTATTATTTCATCCAGAGTGGATTTCGGTTTATATTATGAAATGTTTTCTTGAAATCAATAAAAGAGCAATGCAATTTCTTTGATTTTATCTTTATCAATGACGTCACAGATAAAATAACTACATGTAATTGGAATATTACTTCGTACTATATGAATTGCATAAATGATTCATGAATCCCGCTCGTGACGTCTCTTTTCCTCAATGAAATATAATTGGATACGTTATATTTCATACAAAAGTAGCACGCGCAACACTTACAATAACAACAACAACAACAACAACAACAAGGCACAAACGCTATTAAACAATGGTTTGCGGGACGAAATGACCTTATGTCAACACAATCACAAACATCGGTAATGTGATCAGATATAGATGAATTTATATCACATCTTTGTTAGAACTGACAATTGTATCAGCACCTGAACACATTTGCATAATAAGGGAAGTTAAGTCGTTAGCGAGTTAATCACTATTTTCCTAGGATGAGTAAAAGAAGTGTTACCTGATTTACTTGTGACACACTTTCTCAACTATTGATACAAAGAGGTGGGGATGGTGGGAAATTGTAAGCAAAATAATATTTTCATGAAGTACACTGTACAAGTGATACACAATATAAACACTTAAAATGATAATTTCAAGTTTTTATTTCAAGAAATCAATATTCAATGAGAGCCCAATCTAAAAGAAGTAAGCTTTCCGTATTGATCGTTTAGATTTTTAGTAAAATTTATAGCAAAACAAGTTTTTAATTTTTGAGAAATATTCAAGTTTTGACAAACAATTTATTAAATTAGGTTTGAATAAACGGTTCCCTTAATTGCTTAAGTTTTAATAATGCAGCATTATTTGCATTTGGAAACGTATGCAATAAGGCGTACAGAAAGCCTTTATTACCAATAAGCCGCTCACCGCAGTGGATTCGAATCCCGACAGGGGCTTGGATTCTATCATGTAAGGAAGCTATCCAGCTAGCTTACTTCTACTCAGGTGCCCGTTCGTGCTTGAAATAATGCACGAAAGGGCACCTGAGGTCTTCCTCCACCAGTAAAGCCGGAACATCGCCATATGACATTATACTGTGTTGGTGTGACGTAAAACCGAAACAAACAAACAAACAAACAAATATTACCAATAAATAAATTGATACGGGAAGACCAGTGTTGTTTCAAAGCTCAGAAGCTATATATCGTCTAGCTTGTCGATTACTTTACAACAGTGAATGAATGGACAATTCGATCGAATACTGGTATTTATTTTGAAAAGTCAAAATTGCAAATCGGTTGCTGTTATGTCGCATTATTTGCCATGGTTTCTAGTATTGTTGTATAAAAAATGCAAGTTGGGAGTTTGATTCAAAATGAGTAGAGGGGGAATTTATATATTGATCTGATAAATCAAAAGAAATGTATATAATATAAAATTATCTATTTTAGCTCTTTTTCCTCTATTTTTAAGTTTGATTCATAATTAGAGGATATAATTGTCTCCAAATAAAAAAGATTTTGGTAGTTTCATATATTATTGCTCAATGAATTTACAATTTTACATTTCTTCTGATAATTACAAAGGATCAAAAGGTTAAACAACAACAGTAGCTTCCAAATCTTTATGTAATTTAAAATTTAAGTGAAAACATTCGAAATACCATTCAAAATGACCAATAACAAATAGAGATACAAAACAGTAACGATGACAAAAAGACAGTAGAGTAAAAAAATGGTATCTAAATTAAAAATTTCACCATTTTCATGTTTAAATGTTGAATCCTGCTTGAGACGGTGCTAAGGTGCGTGGACGGTAGCTCGCAATTACCACTACGTCCATGAACAGGTTAAATCAAACCGAACCTGCATTTTTTTTTCAATTTTGCTGAAAGAACAACACCAATAAAGAAACACCTTCAGAGGAATTCCCAATTAAATTATTGCATATTTTGACAGTATTTTTGAATTTCTCTAAATAAGAATTAGGTTTTTCCTTTTGTGTTAAATAACTTTTTCTGTGGTGTTGAATAACTTTTTCTGTGACAATAACCATTTCAATTTGAGGACGCGAGGGATAAAAAATACAAGCCCTGCAGCTGAATAAATAGATAGCTTTAGCATTTTCTTTTATGTTAACTAAGACCCATGAAAAGATTTAGGTGAATATTTTGCGATGTTATATTATTAGCAAGCTAGAATACCAAGACGTAAATTAGCACAAGTTATAATGGGCTATAATCTCAGATCCATTACAAGTCGCTCATTATTACAGTCTACGCAAAGAAACAATGATAATTTAAGAGTATTGGGGCGTCTAATATTCCTCGTAATTATTTCCTGCCGTATAAATTTACAACTTCATTCATCAGCAGAAGTTCATTTATATTCAGTCACCTTATTCAGTATAAATATGCATTTGCCGTTGACAAAAAGCAGACGACTTTTTACGTAGCACGAGATTGGACCTATTTAAAGTTAACCATGAAAAATTTCGTTTTTATTTTTTATCTAACAGTTGCTCAGAATATTTTAGGAAGTCAAGTTCACGACTTTCCTGTTAAACAAACAATGACATTGAAAGAAACAATGGGGAATAGCAATGGACTTGAGATAGACAGCAGAGGTGATTATAAACACACTAATGAAGAAGGAGTAGAGGCTGATAAACTGAATGAAATATATACGGATTTCAGTCGTCTAAAGCGGTCACTTTTACCACATCATGGATATGACTTCAGACGTCTTTCAGATTTGAATCTTAGGAACTTAATGAGACGAACATTACCTTATAAAGATGATGACTTGAAAGTGAGCGTTGACGAAAATATTGCTAACTCCAATGGGCATGATGGTCCTTTCCGACGGTCAGAAGGTCAAGTTACAGAAGAAACGGACAATATAGAGATAGGTGAAAATATCCTAGGGAATACAAAGGTAAAAACTAATTCTGATTATATCTCTGGCAGTGCTAACAAAGTTGGATTGTCTCACTCAGTTAGTGTAGATAAGAAAAGAGATTTTCATGACTTTAGTGCTTTTAGGTCAAAAACAAAGAATTCAGAAACTGAAGATAATAAGTCTTTTAAGTCTAGAAAAAACATGGGGTCTTCATTATTACAAAGAGATGTAGTCGGATTTTATGGACCTGTAAAACGGTCATTTCATTCAACACATTTTAGGCACCACACCCGACCAGCTTTGCATCTTTTCAACAAACGTATATCTTCAGATTTTGGATACGGTTCGAGGGAGCAAGCCGCTGCGAATTTAGCCTTTGACTCTATAAAAGGAAATGCGTTTGGAATTTATGGACCTGGAAAACGCAATGGGATAAAACGCAAGTTCGCTGGTAAAGAAGCTATGGATGTGGATAGTGGCTACGGCTCCCGGATACAGGCCGGAAGTCAAATAGCAAATGATGTTCTTACTATAAACGATTTGTATAGTTTGTTTGGTCCAGGTCGAAGATAAACGAACAGTATTCTGAGTTTTGCCAAAACCGTATCTGTATTCAATATCGCATAATTTTCAGAAATTTGAACTGTTTTATCTGACATTTATTAGAAATTATATATGGAAATTGGAAATACATGATAACATAGTAATAATTGAAATAAAAGCTACAAATATTATGAGATATGATTTTCTTCTATTATTATGTAACCTTATCTGACTCATGAATAATATTGAACTGTATACATTAATATTGAGTCGTTTCACGGTATTTTTTCGTAAAAAAAAAATTCATTTGCGCATTAATATAGTTATTTAATATTTATATTTTTAGAAGAAAAAATAGTTTTTTTTATGTTAAAAGTAAGAAGTAAAATATCATTATTATATTTAGTAATATTTGCAAAAAAATGTACTACTTGTACACAACCCCCAAGTTTTCTTCGTCTTCTTTAGAATTCAAACAATTTGACATGAGGTTTTTTTTGCTATATTGTTACCTGCATAATCGATTAATAGTACACCAAAAAGTCAGCTAGTCGCATGTTCCTCAAAACACGGTGCAACAACAGAAAATTGACCAATTGCGTGATAGCAGTATAACGTGACACTTAATTTGTACGACATTTTGGCTGAATTGCGGAAAAGATATCAGACTAAAGACTTTTTATTTATACTGTACGTTTGTAAAGTCAATTCTTATTTGTAAATCTTGTAGCTAATAGTATTTGTATACTTGACAGCTGCTTATCTATAAAATAATCAAATAAAGCAATTTGGCAACATTATAAGCATTTTCACGTAGCGTTTGTCAAATTTTCAAACCATTTATTAACACTGTTTTCGAAGTTACAAAGAATGGAAATCATATTCATGCAGAAAAAGTACTCATGCACAAAGAAACCGCGGCCAATTGTTTTAATTTGGCCACAAATGGGAACGAGAAAAAAATCAAATGAAATATTGCTCGTCAAAATAAAATTTATTATTGAAGTACAGGAATTAATGTCTCCCATATGTTCCTACAAACTACAAAATAGCAATAAAGTTGATATACCTTTGTAAAAAGATATCAGGCGTTTTGGTATTTTGTATTATCATTGAAGAATGAGTATAGTGGATTAATGTAGAAATATGAATGTAGGTCCATAAAATTTTAAACATTAAGTCTACGTTGATTTTTGTCAAACAAAAACTCGTCTTGTACAATGTATTGTTTATTGAATTCTTTTGAAATTAGACATCGACAATATACCAATACATTCATGTGTTAGAAAATGTACATGCATTAAATATAGCTGCCCTACACGTGAGTCATTTTGGTACGATTTTTGTAACCAGCCAATGACTCACTGATTCACTAACAAGAATTAAACTGCTAAGAAATGTCTGTTTTCTTTGGTGATGGTGGTGGGGATGACGGAGTCAGGGGGCATTTACCCCAAATCCCAAACGTTGATAGTTTTAACTGTTTTATGTGTATGATACCGCTAGCAAAAATTTGCTTTTGTCCACACTGTTACTCTATTTTTATGTACTTCGATATGGTATTCAAGGACATTTACTTGTTTGAATATGTTTGAATATTTACAATTTTTATAACCCGGTATAAATTACCATAACATTAAAAACTTCTCCCTGCTGGAACAAAAAGGTGATTCCCTTTTTCCACCAGTGTAGAGCCAGACCAGCCTGTACATCCATCCGTCCAATCTTACCAGAAATCCTTCACAATTTAAATGGACTGTTCCAAATACAAAGCGTGGCAAAATCATTGATTAAAGACAGAATATACACTATCAATCTTTAAAACAGTTAAATAATGTTTTCTTCTCCTTTAATTCGTCATGTTTGGCATGGTACTCCAGTTCCATCTCTACACTAGGTAGTTGTATTTCTCCGTCTTTAATTTCCATCAAAGGTGTCTGGGTGTGTCGTGGTTCTTGGTTGTATTTCTGTTAATACAACACAACATTATTTACTTGTGATAATATATAACGATTTTAACAAAACAGTTCATCACAGTTGACCACTATGACTTGTATACATGAAATCATAATATACATAATAAATGGATATTTATTAATTCATCAGTGTTTATAGTTTAAAGCATTTCATTGCTTCTTAAACACGTAAAAAACATTACATTGTATACCAATAAACAATATATGTACTCAATAAAAGCAAATGAGTTTGGTTACCAATTCTTCGAACATAAATTACAATCCCTTCCGATTGTTATTTCGCAAAATTTAAATCAACAGCAAAAACATTAACATCAATGAAAGAGGGAAAACTGTTTTCTGTCGAAAAACATGATGTTTTAATAAACTATATCTTTGAAAAAGCTGCATTAAAAATACAACTATATTTTATGAACATTACGCTACATTAAATATATTTTCACATTAAGTAGTAATAAAAACATTTCACTTTTCAAAAAAAATATATATATAAGACTAATGCTAGAGTAGACTGAGTAATTCTTGTGATTTTAAGATATTAACAAAATCTTCACATCTATTTAAAAAAAATAGTGTAACATTACGAACCCCTTCATGTTTAACTCCAAATCGCAGTGGTTTTCGTATCTTTTCAGACAGAAACGGGAAAATTACGTCAAATAAAGGACATATAAGTCGGGCGTCGATTTTCTTTGGATCTTGACGACCTTTATATAGAAGTAAAAAGGAGTAATAAGATAAGAAAATGATACAAAGACATACGGGTGTTTTAAAAAGAAAACAATCATTCATCAGTTAATTCGTTAATAATAGCCATTTTAAAAGGAAAATCATTAAATTTCCTTTCATGATTTACCTAGATTTATAAAGAAGATGCAATTTCTACTGGTGTATTAAAAAATACATGTAACCCCATAATAATGGAGAAATGGAACTATCTATTAACAAAATAATCATTGAAAACGAGTTCGTGCCATTAAACTTGTACTTTTATCAACATAACAATTGCAATGGAGAACTTGCCCCTATACTTTACAAACATGCTTTTTGCAATGGTGAACTGCTATATTACTTTAATAGCATGACTACTGCAATGAATCACCTGTCAGTATTATTATCAAAAATACTTTTTTTAAATAGGACAAATGTCATTATATTTTATCAACATGACCATTGAAAAGGAGCACATGTCATTATTTTTTATTAAAATCATTTTTGCAATGGAGCAACTGTCATTATATTTTATTAATATGACCATTACAAAAGAGCACCTGTCAATATACTTTTCTCTATGACCATTGAAAACGAGCACATGTCAATACACTTTATCTCTATGACCATTGCAAAGGAGCACATGTCATTATTTTTTTTATTAAAATCATTTTTGCAATGGGACAACTGTCATTATATTTTATCAATATGACCATTGCAAAAGAGCACCTGTCAATATACTTTTCTCTATGACCATTGCAATAGAGCACATGTCAATACACTTTATCTCTATGACCATTGCAAAGGAGCCCATATCAAAACACTTTTTCTCTATGACCATTGCAAAAGAGCACCTGTCAATATACTTTATCTCTATTACTATTGCAATGGAGCAAATGTCAATACACTTTATCTCTATGACAATTGCAAAGGAGCCCATATCAAAACACTTTTTCTCTATGACCATTGCAAAGGAGCACCTGTCAATATACGTTATCTCTATTACTATTGCAATGGAGCACATGTCAATACACTTTATCTCTATGACAATTGCAAAAATCCCTGTCAATATACTTTATCTCTATGACTATTGCAAAGGATCCCGTGCCAATATACTTTACCAATAAGACCATTGAAACGGAGCACCTGTCGATATACTTTATCTCTATAACCATTGCAAAAGAGCACATGTCAATACACTTTATCAATAAGACCATTCTGTGTTGCCAGTATGTACAATTAACAAACATTTTTTTCTAATCCACGAGATTGAATGTTTACCTTAACTTGTAATTAACACATGTAAGTAATGTCACTAACCTGTAATTACACTAACCACCATCCCGACGATAACGACTATCGCTAAAGCAGTGGCACTGTACCATAAATACGACAACGTATACAATCTGTCTATACCTTCTGGTGGACTGTTTTAAAACAATTTTCAAACAGGTTAGTAGATAAGGAATATTCTTGTGATGAACATTTAAATTTATATTTTATACGAGAGCTGGTGGTTTGCTAAGATTTCCAACCGGAGTTCCCCTTTTCCAGTTTATTGTATTAAAAACATATGCTTTGACTCCATTTCTTACAACATGACTATATGAACTATATGAATTTACGTACTGTGAATTCATTTCATTTCGAGGGCGTGAAGTTTTGTGATTTCGTCACAAAAGACATTTTCATGGCTTCTTAAATTCGTGGATTGTCTATTCTTTTCAAAAGAAATGAAAATAATGTAATAATTTTTCAGCAGACGAAATGAAATTTGTTGAATCTGGTATTCATAAATTGACCGTCTTACGAAAACCTATAAAATTAGTGTCCCGCGTATAACTATGATTTTGCAGTATTCACGAATTTAATGAAATAGAACGTGGAAATATATACTTCAATATAGATGCTTACCTTTTTGTGATTCCTTTGATTATATTTGATTGATTAAATCCAGAATTTACTGATGTAAGATCTGAAGTGTTTGAGATTGCTAGAGATGAATTAATTGAAGATAAAGTTCTTGAAAGATTCCAGTTGCAGCCTTCTAAACTTATTGGAGGTCTCCAGGAAACCGGTTTGGTAATATAGGCGCCTATACCTATCCACATCATCATTATTAAACTAGCAAACGTTCCCGCAAATGCCCCCTGAAAACAACAACAACAACAACAGCAACAGATTAGAAGATGCAACAATATATTTAGAGGCTCCAGCGTTATGAGACAATCGGTCTTTTCCGAAACTCGGCAAATGTTGGTTTGTCTATCAAAACGAACTTCTACAAGAAGACATCTATATAGTTTCACGGTTCCCTAACGCAGTCACTAGTCACAGTGATGTATGTATGTATTCTAGGCTTAATGAGGGTCAATCCGCCATTTCAGGTACTGATATTACGGATACCGGTCATGTCACCATTGTTATTAACAACCAAAAGGTGACCTATAAATTTTGAATTCAGTAATTCCTTGAATGATACTTAATATGTATGCAAGTCAATTTTTTGTGATGATACAATTTTGATGTACCGGAGGCCTATGAGACCATTATATGCATCATGGAAAAAACTAAATGGCCATATCTTTCGGATGAGCTTGACTGACTGATAAGATTATGCAACTCGGACTGACACCTGACTCATATTTTCCGTATGCACGACCTGTGCGAGCATTCTTTCCATGTTCTTGAGGCGAATTTGGAATGAAATTTTAGCCAACATTTTTTCTTTTTCAATTTTATATAATAAAAAATATGGTGAAATATTAAATACATTACAGCACATAGTAAGACGGAAAAGTCACGTTCATTTTTTCTTTAAATAAATAATGTCAATAACCGAATGCTCACTTTTAAATATATACATGTACATATACATATATATGCCATGCAAAAAGTGAATCACCTTTAAAGGATGACATCGTGTTTCTGGTTTAAAAAACGTTTCAAATTAATTTATTATATTTCGTGTACTTAGAATCAAATAAGATCTTGATATTTGAAAATTGAGGAACAGAAAAACTTCACGGTATTATTTGTATAATATATAAACACATATTCCACTCCTTCGCTTGAATATTTTGTGTGACATCTCCTATATTATCGAATTTCTACAAGGTAATCTTTTTTCCTTAATTACAAACAACATTTATAGAAAGTTATTTCAGAATGAAAAACGGGATCTCACCTTGGAGTTTGCCCACGGAAATATCATGCCTAATGTAAAGAGTCCCAACATAGGTGCTCCCAGCATTCCAAACAGTGACAACGCCGCCTAGAAACACGTGAAAATCGTTCATATTTTTAACGATAGTCATATTACTGTTTTGATGATAAGTATCATAGTGTTATGTTGGAAATAACAAGTATATCATGTTTGTACTTGATAACCCTTCAAAGCTGTTGTTTTTTAACTTATAAAGAACAATGAGTACGATTTTAAGGTACAGCTACATTGATATATACTTGACAGGATCTAGCTTCCCATATAATGCAGCTTTGCATGAAAACGAAATCTGCGAAAAGGTTATTCTAAAACAAAATTGACAATTTAAATGTTAGAGGTAACAATGACTTGTCATTGCCATGATGCATGCACATCTGATAAGCATATTGTTACATTATTCACTATTAATCACATTGGCTCATTTGTTTGACCGTTCGCCTTTTTTTGTTTTATCACGCCAAAAGCAGAACATGGTGCAAACAAAACACTTAATTAGCAATATCAGGCAAATACGATTAAATAGAAGGAAAGGGTGGATTTGTTACAATGTACATCTTATTAATGTGTTGTTTTTTTAAATTTAAATACCTACTTGCAGAATATTTCCAAGCTTGGATGCCACATAAGTCAGTCCAAGGCATAAAATACCGTACAAAAGTGCTGAAATCAACATCAATATGTCCATTACTAAATTACATAGTTAGCTAAACATATTTAAGTGTTCTTATTTTGTTTGCAAATATAGAGACATGTGACATATAAACGCCAATGTACCAACAACAACAGCAATTACAATTTTATGATATCTTTGTGCAGAATTAATTTCACATCATAATCATAAAAAGTGGTAAATGCAGTGGTCCCAGCGACAACGAGGGTAAATCTCAAAAATCAACAACAAGATTAGATAACCTACAAGTATTTATTTGCATTTACAAAAATGCTAGGAATCGCCGTACATGGAGATAGTATTTCAATTCTATATAAAGTGACAAAAACATGGCGGATGGCGTGCCCCGTAGGCGCCCCTTTTTGAGGTCTTTTGCCTCCATTATGTTATCATGTGGTATTAAATTCTCTATTCTGATTGGCTTAGGGCGGGCAGTGAACAGATAGAAATGGTTAAATCATGTTGACGTCCAGCGAAATAAGAGAGGCATTATTTGTTTAATATTTACTACTACATTAACAAATTGACAGTATGACATGTGGACAAAATAAGTTAAATCATGTATCAACCGTTATATTGAATAATATTTTTTTATAAATAAACGTTACAAACCAATTAGTTTGGAAATATTTGTTGCTCTAGATTCGGACATGTTTGGTGACAAAGGTCTAATTAGGTCAGTAAGTGTAACAGCCGACAATGAGTTCAAACCAGACGATATTGTGCTGTAACATAAAATACCGTCAAATATTTATTTGATATACATATAAACTTCAAGTATAGTATATTGTCAAAATATGCAACGCTTCGAGAAAGATGCAAAGGGATACAATATTTAAGTGTTTGAATGTAAAATCATGATAGTTGTAACGATAAAAAGTAATAAACTCGATGAAAAACTGATAAATTCTACTAAAAACTGGTAAATCAAACAAAAACAAAACACATATAGGTATAAAGAAAACTGTATATAAGAATTTAGACTTCGCATGATCTTAGAATATACCCTGTAACTGTCGCTTAAAAATTAATGTTATCAGCGTCATAGATCACGCAATTTGTTTTTAGGATTTTCATTGGTCAGTGTAAATTATATGCTGATTTTTGATATATCTGAGATCCGAGTCTGATATAAGGCAGTTTCATTATTTAAAAACACAGTATATTGTACAGTTTTCATCAATATGTATCAGGTATTAGATGTCTGTTTCTGAGTTTTGGATGTAGTTTCAAAGCCTACTAGAAGTCATTTTTTTTTACTTTTTAATTCCTTTTTTTCCTGGTGTGATTATGGTTTTCTTAATTATTATTATTTCTTTTAAATAATGAAGATATATTGAAAAATTTCTATGTATACTTTAGCATTAAATGAGCGAGGTTATAAATATTACATACCTGAGGGTACCACTAAATATACATGCCACAAAGAGGCCCGGCACCCCCGGGACGTGACTGAGAAGATCCATTACAAACAGTGGATAAAGCTGAAGATCAAAAATACAAGAAGCAAATAAATTAACAAGCTTTGATTATTTTCTCTTGTCACGTAATCAGGCCGTTACATTTTTTATGTTAATTTTTTAGTATTAGTACACCTCAGCGACAAAAAATTATACAGAAAAGAGCTAAGGATGTCACCAGACTTATCCTGCTATTTATATATTGACAGACATAACTGAAAGATGAAATTTGGTTCCTAAACTGTACCCATCGTATTGTAAACAACTATCTTTAGGCTGAAGGCGTTCCAGCTGGGTCCAATGAGGTTAAATATCATGTAAGTTAGACAATGAGGAACAACCCGAGATAGTTCCCTACGGGTCGCTTCCTTTTGGGTTCTTAATTAATTGTTAAAATTACACTTAATAAACACTAGTATATACATAATACATGAAGTTCAATAAGACATTTCTGATTCTTTTTTGAATTTAATTGATTCAACTTTTTAATTTTTCAATGATGATAAGTATATACATGTATACATATAATATATAAACATATATAACAATTTGATAATTTACCTGGTCAGAGGCCATAATAAGTCCAAATTTTATTGGGTCGCACGTGCTATAGAACGCATACATGACCACACCGACCAAACATGCAAGCATCAGTATAACACAGAGTCCGGGGAAATTTATCCACAGAGCTCTGAAATAAAAGTGAATTATACATTTCGTAAAATGTATGGAAACTCGTTTTATCGTAGGACATATCCGATAGAAAAATGTTATTTTTCCGTTTTCTGTAGTCATTTCGTATATCATACGGTACGCAACAGATACAAATTTCATGAGAAAATTGGTAAGATTTTGTGGACAAAGAAGAAAAGCATTTGTTCTTGCTCATAAACACTCTTTGTCTGCCTACGAAACATGTACAGATACTACGAAAAAAACTGAGAATTTGACCTGTTGTCCTCATTTGCCCTGCATATCAAAATCGAAAACGCTCTTTTGTCTTCCCCTCGACTTCATTATCGCCTCCTTTTTTCCTACAGATAGTGAGACGTATCGGTATATGGACAGTATGGGCTTATTGCAGCGTATATTTTTAAAGCCAAACTTTGCCCATCTAAACACGCTGTTGACTAATTCCATCGTTCTCATTCCCCGTTTTCATATTTGCAGTCAAATAAGTTCCATTTTTACCTTACTTTAAAATCATTTTTTAATAAACAATTGTTCCTTACATTTGAGCATCTCTCAGCGTGCCACAGGAGAGCGACCGTTGTACCTGGGCCTGATTTGTCCCATATACACTCCCCCACAGAAAAGCACTTCCAATTGTTAACGCCCAGAAGCTGTGGCGCACCCCTGGATCGAAGCTAAAACTGAAATGGTAACGTTATAATGATAGTGATAAAAAATCTATTTTAGGTATATATGAGTCTAAATAGGCTTAATAATGCCACGTGCTTTAGACACCAAGCCACGTGATGCCATTGTGGTGTTAAAGGATCGATACATCAAAAGAATATGAAAAGTGATCATCATTTAGTAGGATCGGTGAGCTGAAGACTATTTTTGTCAAAGCGATCACTGTATGAAGGAAGTATAATTTATTCTTTGAGAGAGGTTAATAAGTAAAAGTCAGTAAAGATAACTTTGTTTGACTTTAATTAAAGATTGTACTATTACAAACCAATTTTAATAAAATGCTTAGCCATTACTTAAGGAGGGTGTTCGTTGTCAAAATTCCAAACACGTAAAGTGTTCTTTTTTCCAATGTTTTAACCAACATGATATAAATACACAGTGAAATTTATTTACTGCTCTGTTCAAATCTTATTTTAAATTAATGCCATCATAAGATAAATTAATGAGCCGCGTCATGACAAAACCAACATAGTGGGTTTGCGACCAGCAAGGATCCAGACCAGCCTGCGCCTCCGCGCAGTCTGATCAGGATCCATGCTGTTCGCGATCAGTTTCCTACTTGTAATAGGGTTTGTTAGCGAACAGCATGGATCCTGATCAGACTGCGCGGATGCGCAGGCTGGTCTGGATCCATGCTTGTCGCAAACCCATTATGTTGGTTTTGTCATGACGCGGCTTATATTATATATATGATGAAAGAAAGTTCCAACTAGACTTCTAGACATGCAAAAGACGCGTCATTTTGTTTTTTAATTTGAGAAACATTTTCATTTGAAAACTATTTTCAAAAGCAGAGAATTATTTTTTTTCTGAAATGAAGTCCAAATCCTGTATGGTTCTAAAAGTTCATGCATTTTACAACTTGACAAATTGCTATGGTTACCGATAAGATGATACCTTAGTGTTTTTTTTTCGAAATAACTAATGATTTGTTATTGTGATAGTATCATATTATTAGTATGGACTTTCAAGGAAAATCTAAAATTCATAACACATTCAATTGTGTAAGAATCACATTCGTAATTTCATATTTTTAAGCGGTCTGAACTTCCACCAAAACCGGAAGTCGCTAATGCGGCGTGTGTTTTTTATGTATACGTAAATTTCGTGATTTGTGATGTTCTAAATGTCTGATGAAAAATTGCCTTATGAATATCGCACCCAATTTAACTATATAAATTCACGAAAGTTTTATGCCCACCAAACATTCGAATTTTGAAAGTTTTAGTGTTGGGGGGTATATCAAATACACCGCATGTTTCAGAGAAAGGGTCTGATTTCCACACCATCAAATGCGTAAATTTCTCTTGCATGCCCATACATTAGCAGGATTCTGGTGAGTCCACAAATTGAAAGGTCTAGTTGGAACTTCTGTTAAATAAACATATTTTTACATACTCATCAAAATAAACTCTCTGGTTATCCTTGGCAATTTGCCAAGCATTTGTAAAACCACCCATCTCTATGCAGCCTTGTATAAGTGTGGCGAGTAGTCCGATTATCATCATCGTTGTCTGAAACGTGTCTGTCCATAGTACAGCCTTCATACCGCCCTGAATTATAAATATATTAATTGTCTTACATTATGACTTATATTACAAATACACAAATCTTTTCTCTTTCCTGTTGACAGTTTGATTTTAACTTTTCGATATTAACCTTAACAATATTTATATCCAAGCATATATAACCATTTGATTGATTTGTTCATATTTCTATTTGGACAAAACCATATATCGATTTTAGGGATGTGCCGACTGATGTAAGTCTGGAGTATTCTAACTACTCTAGAGTCAACTTCCATTAACCAGTATCGGTGTCATAATTATGACGAAACATGGTGTCCCAAAGTTAGGCTCAGACCTATTATCCCTGGGATGAGAGGCAGGTCCCTCAGTCATACTGGTCTCTAAGTCATAAACTGATATTAAAATACACTGCATGAACAATGGACTGATCTAATTTATAAGGACAAGTTCATTAAACCAATTCAGCAAATTTATTATATGAATCCATAATCATATAATATACCGTGATGGTGAATAAATAAGATATGTGTTCGTGCGTGTTTGATTAGGAACATACGAGTATATTCATGTATAGCACTTTTTACAATGATACAAACTATATTTATGAATCGTATTATAACAATATTCCATCAAATGAAATATTTGAATGGGCCACTTATATTTAAATTAAATATCATAAAAAGTTGAAAACTGACTCTGTATTTCATAACTACAAATGATATGAAATTAACGATACATTTAAAAAAAACAAGTAAGTGCTGGTTCCAAGCTTACAAACCAGTTTCACTGAGACTTCCAGTGACTACCAATACGTACCACTGCTGTATATATTGTACAAAGACTTCCAACAGACACTACTGCTCCCCACAAAGATAGGCCCGTCACTAGAATAATGAAAAATTATATATAAACGGAAAGGTACATTTAAATTTGATTTATAAGTTCAATGGCAAAGCTTTACGTTACTTATTTATTAAGCTACACATTCCACCATATACTTCGACAAATTAAGGGGTACCATCTCATTAACATTCAACCTGACCAAACCCTCGAATTTTCTTTCCCTTCTTCCAATGAACAGTTATTTTTAGTAATGGTTTTGAAGTTATTTGATGATAATTATAAGAAGTTATGTCTATAAATTGTATGCGATAAGGAATATGGAAGACATTTAAGCTGTTCATTGTTATCAAAAGCAAGAGAAAAATTAGAACATTTTAGTTTACCTGCATTAAGTGCTAAAGATGGTCCATACAAGACAATAGACATGTAGATAATCTGTAAATATAAAATGATATTATTTTTAAGACAATAGTATTATCAAAAAACCGTCTATTACTGTACACAACATAATTAATTTTCGATTAATTCATGCGATATCTTTGCCAAGGGATTCACCAAATAGACAACATATACTTCTGACGCTGTTTTAATGTTGATGTTGTTGTTCTTTTGGCTTATTCATAGTCGCGTGCGGCTGCCCATATCGCGACTCGCCCTGCAGTGTTATTTTTCGGGACAGTGTATGAAATGTAGTGGACCAGTTTAAGGGACAATCCTTGCTCTTTTTTACATTCCCGATGTATAGGACCAATACATGGGACCTGGTCCATTGGATCACGGATTCGCTCCTTGTGCTACCTCAAATGTATACTAAGTGTACGGCATGCTTAAGCTGAAACTACTTTATGAACTAAATAACTGTTGTTTTTTTTCGACAAGGGTTAATTTACAACTCGTATGTTACGAATTATGTTATAAAATAATTAATGTTGAGAGACAGTATTTTCAATTCTATACCATTTGACAGATATCTACCTTGTTCAGCAAGAAATGAATGGCATTTTTGTTCACAATGTTATGGCATAACTTTATAATCATGATAAATTACTCGTACTTTCATCATGTTTTATAACAAAGATGAAACATTATCTTTCTTGACAGTTTGTTCTACATTTCACTATTATTATACAAGAGAGTATCATTCCCTTAATTATTGTACTAAATAATGAGTTCTACTATTTATAACCTACCATTTGAAGTGAAAAGATACATGTGCCCATCAGTCGTACACCACGACTAAATCTTTTTTCAAGGTACTAGAAAAATACAAAAATACATGTAAAAATATCATAATAATGAACAAGAGATAAAAATATTGTATAAGGACATTAATTAAACATAATTCACTGGCATTTATATCAATCAATAAAATCTATGTTAATCAACTACATATAAATTAATAAATATTTTTTACGTTATTAAAATACATAAAGGATTTTCAAGTTTATTCTATAAATACAGTATTTATTTTCATTAAGTGGTATGAAATATGTTAATTTTCATAGCACAAGATGAAAATAAATCCAGTATTAATAGAAAAAAAACTTTAATTTGATGTTTATTATATACTTTTTCTCTTTTTTAACCTCATGCATAGAAAGTATTCCCTTTTAATTTTGTGTATTGGCTGAATTAAAAAGAAAGTAGTCCAGCAAGAAACCAGTGAAAATACGGAAAATATGTTTCACGGCAGTGAAAAATAATTTTTACAATGAAAATATGGAAAATAAAAATACGCATTTTATTTCATCGATATCTCTCGATATTACATTTATAAGTATATAATAAAATTTTAATATTCATTGTCATTTATATTAATCAAATATGAGATTTAAAATTATTTATTGAGAAGCTCGTTAATCAATGACACTTTCGTTAAAGGTACATTATGCCTCAGAAATCCATATTTATTAAATTCTTCAAGAATGTCAAACGTGTTTTATAATGGTTTTAGAGTATGTTAGATGTTTAACAGCTGAAGAAAGTAGCGCTGAATGTGCAGTTATGTGTCGTAAAGGAAAGTGGCATTTTGACTTCCATACAAACACTAGTTCACTTTATTTATACCAATGGCCAACGTTACAGCAAAAGAAGCAAAGATTGCTCATATAAATGACAAATAAGTATTGTGTTGGAAACTGTAACAAGATACAAAAAAATTAGTTTTGTGGCAAAAAATATCGCATTTCTGGGGCATAATGCACCTTTAATTATTTGTACTGAAAGAACTTTACATATTTTGTAAATGATATATCTAGAGAGTTAAGTGGAGCATATTCTACCATTTAACGTTTTAAATACATACGAGTGTTCAAGATGGTTTTAAATTCTTGGTTAGGTTTCCTGATATAGTTTCTTCCAGTCCAATGGTTATGGGTTTAAATCGATTCGGGGGGGGGGGGAATAGCGAAGCTTACCATGTCAATTTTGCTACTTAATGTATCGAGTTAACCAGTAAAACTTCTGGGGCGGGCGGGGGTTAGATACAGGTGCTAGCATGTGGTTGACTGACTGTATAAACTAGAAGAAAAAAAACTTAGGCCCTCGTTCATCGTGTTAAGTGGTAATTATGACCGCAAAAGGACATGGAATCAAGATTTCCTCTAACGCCTTATTGCAGAAGAAATTAGAACTACCGGTATTATCATCTGATTAATATCTTTATTCGTATTGCCGTCTGTCTTAGTTCGTACGGTTTGCTTATCTTTCGTTATATGCGTATACAATGAAAATAATATCGACGTTAAATAGAACCATGTATTTTAAAAGTAAGAAAAATAGTAAAACAAGTGTAAACATAGGTCACAAACCTCGTAACATGAAGTTATTTTTAGATTGTAGAAGATGGGGACGTATATATGAGCTGCCATGGCAACAGAACCGGCGTAAGAAAGACCAATCCACCAGTACATTGTTCCGTAATTATACATTTCCGCCGGCGTTCCGAGCAGAGTTATTGCCGACATAAAACTTGCTAACAGTGACATAGATACCGGCACAAAATTCATTTTCCCGCCTGCAAGCAGAAACAACTTGGTGTCCGAAATCTTACGGTCTTTGATGGCGTAAAAGAATCCAATAAACGTCGAAATTCCCAATGTTGCTCCAAAAATCACATAATCCACAACAGAAAATGTATTTTTCTGCCCCGTCTCAAAACTGTAATTCCTTTCCGATGACATTTTTGTTTAGCCAAACTTTTATACATCAAATATAAATATATACATGTACGTTGAAACAAACGCCAACGTTGCAACGCGTGCTTCTGTCACGAAATAAGAAACATTTTACACTATAATCTTAATCTGTGATACTTAAAGTTTGACCTGGTTCTTCGTTTTTATTACAGGGCTGTTCAAACAGTTGATAGATAAAAACGACCTATAATCCAATGGTTTCGTTGATAAATTTTAGGTTACTATAGAGATAAGTACATTTGTATTTTAAATAAACATAAAAGCTTCATAAACATAGATATATTGATGTTTAACACAGTTTGTTGTTCAAATTGAAACATACTAATGAATTACTAAATCCCGATTATGCATTTTAGACTCATATAACTTTCAAATCCATGTGCTGTTGTATAAACAAGTCATATATTGCCGTGTCCACTGTATTACAGGTTTTGAGCACAAAATAGTCCCTGCATCGGTTAAGAAGAAGAAATCTAAACCACAAGGCAAAATCTCATCTTGAAAACAAAACTTCTCCGAGTGTAAAATGCACATGAGGTGTAATACCTAACTCATGTATAACGTAAGTACACACATTTTCGCGCACTTTCATATACAGGAAACAAAAATGTCGGGCAATAATGCACTCACGTTGTGGAAACGATAAGATAATTATGCCCTTTGCTATATAAATTTGCACTTTGATTTAAAGGCGGAACGCCCGAGATAGTCTTAAAATGCATGAAAGTCATGATCTTATGCTAGAACTAGCAGCCACATTCTTTACGAGTAAATAAAGAAATACACAAGAACATGTTAATGTAATTATATACTTTAAATAACTTCTTTTATCTCCCGCATTAAATACAACATAAATGTTGTTGTTGTTGTTGTTGTTGTTGCAGCAGCAGTCGCAGAGGTAGCAGTGCATGTAGTTGTGGTGTTATCGTTTATTTATGTTTTATATCATTGACGAAAAATGATATTTTTTTATATCTTTGTAAGGTAAATACAGTGATATACCGTGTTTAAAAAAATTATTATAAACATATCTTTATAGATGCATAATCATGTATATGTATATATATGTAAAAAATATGATATTCATGTACAAAACTCGAAACCGCAGGTGCTAGTCGCATTGATTTGACCTTGATATTAAAAAATTTAAAAAAGAAAGAAAAAAAATTAACAATTTTATTTTTTTCATTATATGGATATTATATTGCATGAATAACAATATTAAAATAGTTAGGACTTGCAACTTTGCCGGAATTCATGCAGTGTGTAGGCGCCTACGGGGTAAACGATATCCGGAATATTTGTTTTTTAAGAAGAAACGTTAGCTCTACTGTTCAGGAAGAAGTCGATAAAACGAAAAATAAAAAGAATAAAAATAAAACAAAATCGAATGACCCGGCTAAATGCTAATACAGAGGTAACAATCGCAACTTTTCGGTCCTTTCCGTCTGATGAAGATTATCAATTATCGTGTACAGTGGTAAGTGACAAATGATTAGATGTCAACGGAATTATAACATCTTTAACAAAATTTTACTAAGTAATGTATTTTCTAATATATTTAATGATTCCCGTGTAAATATAAAATGTTTTAATTTCTTATCAAAATAAGTTTATATTTACTATTTTTGCACATTTTTTTTGTTTCATGATTGTTTGATTGGAAATGGTCCTCAATTTAGAAATATATAAAAACAACTTACAGAGAGCGGGAAAATGTGAACAATCATCACGATCGTTGTTCTAACACACTTAAAACTTTTGTATGAGCCCTGGAATTGGAACATGAAAATGCATAAATTATATTTAGATAAATTACAATATTTTAATTCATATACAACCAAATAATATGACTTACTACATACATTGTTCAATGTACATAGACGACGCTTGTTCTGAAAGAGTAATATAGTTGAAAAATAACTTGTAGGTGTAGTTTTAGATAAGGTAAATTGTAATATGTAAATTGAAACGTGGGTCTCTACTTTTTTAGAGGAGGGGGTGGGTAATATGCCCAACTTGCCTTACGTTATTTTTAGTGTGGATTAACCATATGACTATCCTCGCAAGGCGGAGCCTTTAAAAGGGATTTGGTGATTCAAAGTCAAAGTCGCACAACAACAACAACAAAACAACTGAACGTGTAATTACGATAATTGGACTGCCATCTACCCATACTTCAAGCTTCAAGTTTTATAAAAATATTTTCAGTACTTTTGCGTAATCCCGGGATTCAGTTTTATGGACGGAGAGACCGATGGACGAACAGATAGACGGATAGACGGACGGACGGACGGACGGACGGTAAACCTAAAGTCACTTCCGGTTAAACCGATAAGGGGCTACTGAATAAATAAATTTAATAATAATTAATTAATTAACAAACAAACAAACAAACAAACAAACAAATAAATAAATGAATAAATTTTCGAATATACCTCAACTATAAATATTTCATAGCATGCGCTAACATTTTGGAACGAACGAAGAAAAACAAACATTTACGTGTAGAACGTAAAGGGTTTCCCAATATTAGATAAGCTAAGGACAGAAGCCACACATGCACATTTAAAAAAAATCTTTTTGCTAATTGTCACTAATTAAGTCAAATTTTCTTCTTTAATTACTATGGAACGCCTGGACTGTCTTATGTTAAGAATGAATGATATACCTGGTTAAATGTCTTTCTGTTGAGTCCGTGATACAAAATGCTGGGTGGAAATCCTAATGTGCTCAGTTATTGAAGTGCTATGTTGTGTGCTGACTGTATTTTATTCAGTCAAGTCAATGTATTGTCGGGTGCATAAGTCGTTATGTTCAGTTCTTAAAACAAACAAGCATGTGGTGACACAATTATGTTGAGTTAAAAAGATATGTTGTAGGGTGTTGCAGTTTTTATGTTCGGTTATAATAATATGCTGTTTGGTGCTCTTCTCATCATGTTCAACCATGAAAATAAACAGTTGAGTGGTACTATCATTTTGTTTGGCTTAGGCAGTGTATTATTGGGTGATACTTTTATTATTTTCAGATGCAATGACATGCTGTTGGGTGCTTTATTCCTTCTGTTCAGTCGTGAAATAGAACTGTTAAATGATACAATCATTATCTTAAATGGTACTATCATTATCTTGTGTGCTGATATCATCTTCTTCAGTCAAGTCAATGTATTGTTCGGTGCAAAGGTCGTTATGTTCAGTTGTTTTTTGGTACTATCATTATGTTCAGTTCAGATGATATACTGTTCGGTGTAGAGGTCATTATGTTCAATAGTGAACACAAACTGTTGTGTGATACCACAATTATGTTGGGTTCATTCGGATATTTTCGGGCAACAGATGGGAGCGACTAATTTCCATAGGTCACGTCGAGGCTAATGACCACTAAATTGCCAAAACAATTTTCTTCCCTGTAAATATCATCGGGGGCTTAAGAACGTTATTTTCATAAATTGGACTTTTAAATACCCAATGGGTAATTTATTTAGTTAATTCATGACTATGCTTTACTGTTACAGTCATAATGGGTACAGTATATAAAACTTAAAATATGGGTAAGGGTAGCCAGTTAAAGTCACACATGACCACCGTAAATAAAACTTAAAATGTATCTGTTTGGTAACCTATAAGAGTCACAAATGGACACAGCAAACGAAATTTAAAATATAAAACATCATATACAAGTAAGGGAACCCTATTTGAGTCACACATGGCCACAGTATATGGAGCATATAAGTAAGGGTAGCCTATTAAAGTCACATATGGCCACAGCATATGCAACTTAAAATATATGTGTTGGTAACCCATTTGAGTCACACATAACCACAATAAATGGAACATAATATTTAAGTAAGGGAAACCTATTTGAGTCACACATGGCCACAGTATATGGAACATTAAATATAAGTAAGGGTAGCGCAATAAAGTCACACATACCCCCATCATGAAGAACATTCTATATAAGTAAGGGAAACCTTATTGAGTCACACTAGGCCAAAATATATGGAACATTATGTTTAAGTAAGGAAAATCTATTTGAGTCACACATGACTAAAGTATATGGAACATTATATATATGTAAGATAAGTAAGGGTAGCCTAATAAAATTAGACTCAAATACATTTCCCTGAGTTAAACAGTATGTCTAATATCTTGTGGCCATGTGTGACTCAATTAGGTTTCACTTACTTAGATATAATTTTTTTTATACTTTGGCCATGTTTGACTTTATTAGGCTACCCTTACTTATATATAATGTTCCATTTACTGTGGTCATGTGTGTCTCAAATGGGGGTTTCCATACTTATATTTAACGTTCCATAAACTGTGGCCATGTGTGACTCAAATAGGTTTGCCTTACTTGTATATTATGTTTCATATTTTAAATTTCGTTTGATGTGTCCACTTGTGAGTATAAAAAGTTACCAACACATATATTTTAAGTTTTATTTACGGTGGTCATGTGTGACTTGAACAGGCTACCCTTACCCATATTTTAAGTTTTATATACTGTGCCCATTATGACTGTAACAGTATAGTATAGTCATAAATTAACTTGATAAAATACCCATTGGGTATTAAATATGCCATACGATCTGTCCAATTTATTGAAATAACGCTCCCGATGGTATTTACGGGGAAGAAAATTGTTTTGGCAATTTAGTGGTCATGAGCCTCGACGTGACCTATGGAAATTAGTTGCTCCCGCCCGCCATCTTGTTTGACGCGAACATATCCGAATGAACCCAACATAATTGTATGACCACTCAGTGCATTGTCAAATGACTTGTGCACCGAACAGTATATCATCTGAACTGAACATAATGACGGTATCACACCACAGTTTGTGTTCACTACTGAACATAATGACTTCTGCACCAAACATTATATCATCTGAACTGAACATAATGACGGTATCACACAACAGTTTGTGTTCACTACTGAACATAATGGGCTCTGCACCAAACAGGATATCATCTGAACTGAACATAATGACGGTATCACACAACAGTTTGTGTTCACTACTGTACATAATGACTTCTGCACCGAACAGTATATCACCTGAACTGAACATAATGACGGTATCACACAACAGTTTGTGTTCACTACTGAACATAATGACCTTTGCACCAAACAGGATATCATCTGAACTGAACATAATGACGGTATCACACAACAGTTTGTGTTCACTACTGATCATAATGACATCTACACCGAACAGTACATCATCTGAACTGAACATAATGACTTCTGCACCGAACAGTATATCATCTGAACTGAACATAATGACGGTATCACACAACAGTTTGTGTTCACTGCTGAACATAATGACTTCTGCACCAAACATTATATCATCTGAACTGAACATAATGACGGTATCACACAACAGTTTGTGTTCCCTACTGAACATAATGACCTCTGCACCGAACAGTACATCATCTGAACTGAACA